GGGGGTGGGGGGGGGGGGACGGTCCTGCATCTCCCTGGGGTCATGGAGACCTGGCTGCCCTCTGGGGTCAAGCAACCACCCCCTTCAGTTCCCCACTCACAGGGGAAGGCCTCCGGGTGCCGGGCCGCGTACTGGAACACCAGCAGAGAGGCCACCGTCGCCACCATCATGCCTGTGCCCGCTGCGCCCAGCACAGCTGGGTAGGCGCTGAAGGGCGGGTCCGCTGCGAGGGAGAGCAGTGGATGCACGGGGTGGGTTAGAGCCACGGCCGAACCTGGCAGCAGTGGCTCAGAGGGTGCCAGTTCCCCCTGCACCCCCGGGGGGTGATCAGGGGCGAGGCTGGACCCAGAGCGCCTGTGTGCCCCGTGCTCTTGAGTTGGATCCCCAGCCGAGTCCCTGTGTTTGGCACTGGGGGCAGCGGGCCAGTTATCTCGGCAGCTGCCGTGTCATGAGGAGTCCCCAGGACGGGGAGAGCATGGGAAGCCGGGGGCCCACCGTGTGCCCCCGGGATGAGACTGAGGCACAGAGGCGGCCTTCTCCTTCCTCCATCTCCCCTTCCCTGCTTCTGATTCAAGCTGAACTATGACTCCTACCCCTCGGCTGACCCCTCGGGTCTCCCCGGGAGGGAAGGCGGGGGAGAGGACAGAGATGGGGCGGGAGGGATCCAGCAGGAGGGAGCAGAGGGATGGAGTCGGGGTGCCCTGGGAGGAGGAAGATGGGCAGGGCTCCGCTTTGGGGGGCAAGGCGAGCCTCGCAGGGCGCTAGCCCAGCACCTGGTATCTTCCCCTCAGAGGGATGTCCCGCCGTGCGGTGGTTCAGAGCCAGGATGCGGAAGGCATAGAGCACCCCGGGGTCCAAGCCCCCCAGCCGCCGGGCTCTGCTCTCCGCAGCTGCACGTCTCTGCGGTGCCTCCCGTAGGTCAGGTGGCTGATGGTGACGTTGGGGGGAACTGGGTACCCTGCGGGCGAGGGTGGGACACATGCAGGCATGTGTGCCACCACGCGTGTGCATGTGTGTGTGCGTGCGTGCGTGTGTGTGTCCATGTGCGCCCAGGTGCGCATATGCTTCTGCGTCCCATTTGCTCCAGTTGCATCGGGAGCTGGCAAAGGCGCAGACGTGCTCAGTTCTGTCGTGGGGCCAGTGTGGCCCTGGCTTCCATTTCTAGGCCTGTTTCCCCGCCTATGAACTGAGGAAACAGAGATGATTCTGCCCGCGTGGAGCTGTTGGCCTGTGTCCTAGGGTGCGTGTGCCTCGCGGCCAGTAGCCCTGGAGGGTCATGTTTGTGAGGGGCTGTCTGCCTGCGGGAGCTAACGGCCCACATGCTAAAAGGAATTCCAGTGCCTCCCGCCTGCAGGGCCATATGGGGCTGGAGGCTTTCCACCTCCCTGGACACACACATGCACCCCCAACACACACACACACACACACACACACACACGCGCGCGCACACCCATTCACACACTCACACACACGCACGCACACTCACACACACACACACTCACACACACACACTCACACGCCCACACGCACACACGCACACACATTCACACACGCACACACACGCACACTCACACATGCACGCACACACTCACACACTCACACACACACACACGCATGCACGCACACACTCACACGCACATGCACACACTCACACACACTCACACACAGGCACACTCACACACACGCGCACACATTCACACACACGCGCGCGCGCACACACACACACTCACACACACACGCGCGCGCGCGCACACACTCACACACACAGTCACTCACGGAGGACCTCCAGCAGGATGCTGCCACTGCTGTTGCCCACGGCGTTGCGAGCCACACACTGGTAGGTGCCCCCGTGGCGAGCTGGGTCTGCACCGCGGATGCTAAGGTGGAGCTGGGAGCCCTCGGGGTGCAGCATGAATCCGGAATCGCCCGGTTCCAAGAGCTGCCGCTGGGGTCCCAGCCAGAGGAGGTGGGCAGGTGGTGTGCCCCCCAGGAGGACACACCGCAGCCAGGCTTCTTCCCCCTCCAGCACCGACACCCGGGCCGTAGCCACTGCCAGCTGTGGGGCTTCTGCAGGGACAGAGAGCAAGGCTGGAGCTGTCCCCTGAGCCAGGGGTGTGGAAGGCCCGGGGGAAGGTGCTGGCCAGCGGTGG